TTAGGAATTAAGATAGTAATATAAGCGCTATAAAACGCAATCACCAGAATGTTTATAATTTTAACACGGATGCCTTTAAACTGTGTTTTCAATGCTGTAATGTAGTTCCTCAGCATTTTCACCCGTCCGGAAAGCCGGTCGGTTGGCTGAGCGTTTATTTCCGTACGCGGATCTTATTTATACACCGCAGCAGGGGAGCCACTATTATTTTTTTTTTCCCCCCCTAAGTTTTAAAACGAGACCTGAGGCTGCGGGGGTAGCGGCCGGTGAGGACGGCCGGGCCGAGGGGCTCGGTGGGGGCACGGGGAAAGGCCGGTGTCCGCGGCGCGGGGGGTGACCGCGGACTGCGCGCCCCGTCGGCGGCTGCGGCGGGCTGGCCCGGTCCAGTTCGCCCTCCTTCGGTCCCGCCGTGCCGAAGCGGGACCAAAACTTGCCACGCCGTATCGATAAGCCCTCCCCTAACCCCACTCGCTGTTTGAGGGCTGCCGTGGCCACGCTGCTGGCAGGTTGGGCTTGGCTTCGGCGCGACCGGCGACAACCGCAAAGAGGCTCCCCGCGGCTCAGGCTGAAGCTGGGTCACTCCAGGTGACAAAGGGCACTGTCCCCTGGCCATGAGAGCGCGGGGGCTTCCCCTCTTCCCCGGCCCTGTTCCCTCTTCTCGGCTCCTGAGCTAGGAGCACCGAACGGGATGCTGCATGCTCTGTGGTCCTGGAGGCTGGGTTCAGAGCGGCCTCGTCATCCGCTTGTTTTGGGAGCCGTCAGTCGAGTTATGTGGTTTGAACCCGGGGAGTCTCAAGTGTCGGGAAACCGACCCCTCTCCCTCTCGTTCCGGCTCGGCCGCAAAACTAAAGCCCGTCGGGCACACACGAGGCGGTGTTTGCTCGGGACAGGCCCTGGGACGAATAGCAGGGGGTTGCCCACGGCCACCGGGGCACCGCGAGCCTGGGCCCGGCGTGGGATCAGCCGGGATCGCCTGCGCCCAGCGCTGTGAGCCGCGCTCGTTTTGCGCCCCAGGAAGGTGACACGCACAAGTGGGAGCAGGGACCGGGCCATTCTCATCGGAAACCAATAAAGAGCCCCGCCGCCGCTCCGGACGACCTTTCCTGCCGGCTCCCTAGTGCCACCTCTTCCGTCGGGCTGCAGCCCACCTGGCAGCGGGGAAAGCAGCCCGGCCGGAGGATCCCAGGTGGAGTGGGATGTGGGCTCCAAGGGACTTTCCTGCCTCTTTTAAATTTAAGCCACGCTTAACCTTCTCTCAACCCTTCTGAGGATCAACTGTATCCCTGAGACAGTCGCTCTAGGCTTGCTGTTCAACCCGTTATAGAAGAGCTGGAAGTGCTAATTGGCCCCCGACACACGCTCAGCCGCAAGCAAGGGCAAGGGAGAGAGACGGGGGCGAAGGTGCGCTTGGGATGTACAGAAATAGGGTTTATAGACTACTTTCTCACCAGCGCCCATAATTTTTTCTGCAGTTGATAATGTTTGACTGACTAGCCGCCGTCAGCTCCTTGCTGTCAGTTTTACGCTCCACGTCTCCTTAGGGTGAAGCGATTAGGCTCACTTGGGGGGCGGAGGGAAGAAGAGGATAATGATATAAATATGTTCTCCTTAGTGACCGCTTCTATGGATCCCTGCTGGGTAGTTACAGAAAACCATGTCTTTGAAGGGGAAAGGACTCTGTGGATATTTCACTCTCTGGTGGCGCCCGGCTTCAGTGTTAGAAAAGATTTGCAAAAATCACACTGTGAATGGCAGAACATGGCCATAACCTTCCTGTAAATGTCCCTCAAGATATTCAGAGGGAGCACAGGAAAATATCTTTCTGGTGGAAAACAATATAGTTTTTTTCACTGAGGTCTAAATATGTGACTCTTCTACATCAAATAAGCTCTGCCTCACCAATTGCTTAAAAACCCAGACTGCATTTTAAAGTCCGGAAATAAAAGTAACCCCAGAAAGGTGTTTTGGATATATATATTATTCCATTAGCAGATCACTATATATATAGATTCTCCTCTCTTTCATCATCCCATAAAAAATTAATCGGACAGACATATGGATAACAGGTTGTTCGATAAATTTAAATCCAAACAGTTATTTCAAAAAGTCAAGAAATGAAAACAACATGCCACATAGCAGCCTACAGAAATCTAGGGAGGAGTAAAAAAAAAAATAAAAAACAAGGGGCATTCCTCTAAAAATAAAAACAATCCGGGCGATCTGTCCATCCGCCGTAGAGCGGCAGGCTGCGCGCACCCCGCTGCGCTGCGTGGAGGGGTGCGGAGCGGTGCAGAGCAAGGGGTCGGGGTCTCCTCTGCGGGAACGCGCGGCGGCTGGCTCTGGAGGGAGGGAAAAGAATAAAAAAGCGGGCAGGATCAACAACCCCGTGCCCAGAGGCTTCTACTTCTACTGGACCTCCGCGGCACCACCGCCGCTTCGTCCCCGTGCCTGCCTGCGCGCCGCAGCCGCCCTCCGCCGGCGCTGCCCCGCGGAGAGCCCGGCGGAGGAGCGGGGCAACTCGCCCCTGCGCCGGCAGGTCTCGGCGGCCGCTCAGGGCTGGCTCGGCACTCCGCACCCGCCCGCGCCGAGTTTCTCCAGTAGCTCAGCCTCACCCTAAAAGCCCTCGCGTCCCCCGTCGTTCGCACCCGGGCCCCGCCGCCACGGAGCGCGCCCTCCTCCTCCCGGGCCGCGGCGGCGGGGGTCGGTACCTGCTCCCGCGGGCCTCGCCGGGGCCATCGCACCGGTGGCGGTGGTGTGTGCGACCCGGCGGCCGCGGGTGGCGGGAGCACAGAGCGGGGCGGCGGAAGGTACCGTCGGAGATGGGCGGGCGGGCGAGGAGGCTGCGGGAGCGCCCTCGGACAGATAGCATCCATTTCCTTCCTTCCTCTCCTCCATCCATCTCATCTCCACCGCGACGGCGTTTAAAGTCCTGCAAGATCCTCTAGCTTAGCACGTTTCGATCACTCTCGCACATCTGATTTCCTTCAGATTCAATCACGGCTGGAAAGGCAGAGCAGACAGACTTTAGACCACGGAACAGTTAATATGTCCCAGATTTAATGTAAAGATAAACTAACTCCACAGCACTGTTCGTCGGTGACAGGCATTAAGCATTTTCTGCTCTCCTATCAATTCAGAGCGACAGCAACTGCAGGGCAATCTTTTTCGTAGTGAAGAACTTTTCTCAGACAAGTTGCCATCTCTTCCAATGTGGAGAGAGTTAGTACTCCTACGGCGGTTTCGTTTCTGTTCTATTTTTTTCTTTAATTAATTATCTTTTTGTCACATACCTAATTTTTCACGTCTGGAAAGTACTTTTACAATTTTAACACTGATAACCTTATTCGAAGGGATAATTTATCTCTAGGGTTTATTTATTAATCAGCCCATTCCTCACAGTCTCTGACGAAACAGCTATTGAAATTAGCGATAAATTTGCATTTTACAGGTAGGTAAAATGCGATAGTGGAAACGGTTACGTCTCCTAAATGGCAGCTATTTCCGTTTCAGATTACGATCAGAAATCTCAGCTGTGCCACTCGACGGCCCGAGCAGGACCTCCAAGGCTGTGACACAGGCGAACCACATCACGAATTTCCTTCTCTCCGTTGCCCAAACCAGAATGAGTTTGAGACCTTAGTCCCCTAAACAGTGAAATTTGCCCCATTGATTTTGTACAGCAGTAGGGTTTCTATTCTATTTCTTTCAAGGGATCACGTCACTCCATTTAGTTCTGAGGATAAAAAAAAAAAAAAAGGGAAAAATGTCCCAACCAGAAAAAAAAAAAACAAAAAAAAACAAAAAAAAAAAAACAAACCAAAAAACAGCACAAAAGCACACACAACAAAAATCTCACTAGCTTTTTCATTTCCCTGGATATGCAGAGGAAAGAATATCTGGTTCCAAAACTTTAATAGTTTTACTCACTGGAAAGATACAAAAGAGGATTTTCCCCTGTAACTATTTTATGCACCTGAATATGATTATTACGAAATATTACTGCGGCTGGATGCATCGATGTTCATACAAGGTTCGGTTTAATTCTCGTTTTATTGCAGCCTCAACTCTAATGGGCTGGGTTTACTGGAGGTTGTGGATGCTACCCTGGAACCTTCACTGCAGCCAGAGTTTGAATAACAACGCGATGAACCTCCAAGCGCAACAGTAACAGCAATAATTCCTAATTCCTTACAGCAAAACAGGGCACAACGTCATTTTTTAACGTCCGAACGGTTTTCCCGGCCGAAGCGCTGCGCTCCAGGGGAGCCCCCCCTTCCCTCTGCGCTTCGGGGGGAGATGCGGCTGGGGGCGGGGGCGTCCCTTTAGCGTTCACTGAGGGTGCATCAGCCGCGGGCCGGGGGCGCGGGGCTGCTCGGGCCTGGGCGGAGGCGGGCGCGGGGCCGGCGGGGCGCTCCCCCCGGCCGCGGCGGCGGGGCCCCCTGGAAGGGCGGCGGGGCCGGGGCGGCGGGGCCGGGGGGCGCTGATTGGGCTGCGGGCGGCCGAGCCGCGCCGCCCCCGCCCCGCGGCTCCGCCCGGCCCCCGCCGCCGCAGTGACACTAATGAGCGAGTTCTTCCCACAGGTCTCCTGCCTGGAAGTGCTGACAGATCAAGGCAACAAATTTCAATTACAAGCCCTAATTTGTGTCCGCAGAGCGTTTGTTACCCATGTCAGCCCTGCCTGGCCCATCAGACGGGGCAGAACGTGGAGGAGGAGGAGGAGGGGGAGAGAAGGAACGCATCTGCAGAAAGGAATAGATTTTTTTTCCACTTTAAAAAAACCCAAAACAATCCCCCCCTCCCAAAAAAACCCAAAAAAAAAAAAAAACCAACCCCCCAAAAAAAACTTGGCTGATAACTCGGATTTAAAAAGAAAGGCGAGGAAAAGCCCCAGCCCTTTGCCTGCGCGGTCGGGAGGACGGGAGGGCGGCCGGCGCGGCGGGCCGGGTGCCGGTGCTGGCGGCCGCGGGGCGCCTGGATGCACGGGCTGTAGGGTGGCGGGCATGGCCGACAAGCGGCGGTCCTCGCCAGGCACCACCATGAGCCTCAAGGCTCACGCCTTCTCCGTGGAGGCTCTCATCGGGGCCGAGAAGCAACAGCAGCAGCAGCCGCCGCCGCGGCAGCCCAAGCGACGGAAGCTGGGCGGCGAGGACGAAGCGGCGGAGGACGAAGGCGGCAGCGGCTGCTGCGCCAAGAGCTCTCCCGCCGCTGCCGCCGGCAGAACCTGCGGCGACATGGACCTGGGCTGCGCCGCCCGCGCCCCCGCCGGTGAGTGCCGCCCCGAGCTCCGCGCCCCGCCGCTGCCCGCAGCCCCGCTCCTCCGCCGGGCTCGGGATCCCCTTTCCCCCCGCGACCGGCGCTTTGATTTCCCGTTATCCCTTCTGCCTCTCCACCCTGCGTGGGCACCCACCACCCTTCCCGCTGGCCTGGCGCTGAGCATTCGCGGCGCTCCTCGGACGCCGGACGGGGCAGGCCGGCTGCCGGGGGGCTGTCGGTGCCGCAGCGCGGTGGAGCGACGGCGGAGGCTGTCCCGAGCCCTGCTTCCGAGGAAAGGCAAAAGCGCTTATACGGCACACATTTGTATGTGTGCTGCTAAAAGTGCAAATGCAACTATGTATATAATTATGTGTGCATATATATATATTTATATATATACTTATATATATTTATATATACGTATATAGACACGCACACAGCACCTTCATATTGGTCTGTGTGTAATTTGCTGTGAGTGGAGGGGAGCGCAGTTTCACGCTGCGGGGCAGAAGCCCGTGGCCGAACGAAATGCGCCTTCGGCCTCGCACCCCGGTCGGGCTGCCTGCCCCCGCCTCGGCCGGGGCGCGGTGCGGCGCTGGGGCAGCTCGTTCCTGCAGCCCGGCCGTGCTGCCGCGGTGCCGGCGCTCGGGTCGCCCCACTCCCCGGAGCCGGGGCCGCGGGCCGGGCCGGGCTGGCTAGTCGGCCGGGGCTGAGGGAGCCCTCGATCGCGATCCGCGCTGCCCCGGCCGCTCTCGCTTCCTCCGCTCTTTCCGCAGGCGGCTGCGAGGAGGGCTTCCTGGCGGCCTCCCCGCCCGCCTCCCCCGGCGGCTCCCCAAAGGGCTCCCGGCCCGGCTCGCCGCTGCCCACGCCGCAGGCGCCGCGGGTGGACCTGCAGGGCGCCGAGCTCTGGAAGCGCTTCCACGAGATCGGCACCGAGATGATCATCACCAAGGCGGGAAGGTAACGGGCACGGCGGGGCCGCCACCCGCGCGATCCCGGGGCGGGCGGGCACTTCAAAGCGGGCCAAAACCGGGGGAACCCTCCAGATTTACGAGGCAGGTAGATGGCGATAATGTTAGATGGGCACGGGAGCATGTGGCGCTTCGGGTTTCCTGTTCATTAGGGCGAGGTCTGGGAGCGCCGTGCCCTTCTGGGGGGAAGCTTTTCCCCTTTCCAGGGGATACACATGGTAAAAACCTGGGAAGTATAAAAGTATTTGAACTTATTAGAAATTACAAAAACATATTTTATTGAATCCATATGCTACCGTCCGCATTTTCAGAGAGGTTTTATTAATGATTGAAACGCAGTCTTAAACAGCACAAAGCTGCATTTGTCTTAAGAGAGTCCAGTCGGGGAGTTTCTGTTTTATCTTACAGGTGCACTGAAATAACAGCAAAAACTAGTTAGCCATAGTCATGTTTTTACCCTCCTGCTTATTCAGAAATGGCGGAGATAGGATTTTTGTTTCCAGTAACTACTTTTAATAGATTGTTTTTTAATATATGTGTATATATATTTTAGCACAGCAGCAAATACCGAGTAAAGTGGAATAACTTTCAGGTTTATAAAATGCAGAAGAGTATTTTATTAGCTTGCAGTCAGGACCTTTCTTTCTTTTTTTTTTTCCTTTTTTTTTTTTTTCTTCAAGAATGAAGTTTCTGATAAAAAGCATGTCAAGCTAAGAGCTGAGGGCAGTTTTATGTTAAAGCCACCTCATTGGTTAATTAATCCGTTTCTCTACAGAAGGACCTAAATCTTGAACGTTTGATTTTTCGTAGTTTTTATATTATTTTTTTTTCAGAAATTTGCTCATAGATTCGTTTCTGCTTTCAATAAAGAAGTTTTACTATACCTTTCAAAGACAGAGTAGCTCTCGCACTTCACCTTTAGTAAGTTGCAGACAGGAAGTCCCGTGTCAATAAAGACCATATTGTTGGGTTAGAGCATGGCACATTGGCTTTTATAACTGCATCCTTGCGGTGTTATAATTGTATCACCGTGGATTTAGCTTTCTAATTCGCTGCTACAGCAACGATACACCATTTTGTGCTGTCAGTTGAAACTTTAGTGGCAATCTGCCTTTCTGTAAGCCTTGGGCTTCCTGGGTGGAGGTGGTGTTTGCACATCTCCAGGAATACATTTCTTACTAATATCTCAAATGGGCTTTAAATGTGTGTACTGCTAAAGTAAAGTCTCAAACCCAAATGATTTACTGTCTAACAATAAAGTTGAAATGATGTGGTAATAGCTGTACTCCCAAAGCGTATCCCCAAACATACGAAGCATTGTTCGAGTAAATGCACTTTAGAAATCTGTTTTGACATATCGAATGGGCCATTTCATGGCTATGTAACTATAATCGTCCAAAAGGACTCTGTAGGCTAAAAGGAAGAACGAGAAAAATCCCACGAAGAGGTTACTTTTCCTAAACAACTATTCCCGAGTCTGTTTCGGATTAAAAATGACCTCTCTCTTTCCAATGTTCAGGCGGATGTTTCCTGCAATGAGAGTGAAGATCTCAGGTTTAGACCCACATCAGCAGTATTATATTGCTATGGATATTGTGCCAGTGGATAACAAAAGATACAGGTATGGTGACTTTTAGGCAAAAAACATATGATGTAAGCTATAAGGTTGCTGGAAGAAAATATTAACACAACATAAATTAGCAGAAGATCATGTTTAAATCTCCTTAAAGGTTCTTATTTTCATCCTAGTGTATTTTAAAGGACCATATTGTACCAAGTATGCAAAAACAACTAAAATTTGTGTTGAAGCTCTTTATAATACATTTGTCTCACACTGAGTATGTACTGTGGGCAGATGCTCAGGTTTGGCTTTCAGAGTGCAGTTCTAGTGCAGTCACAAAATGTTATATTTTTTCCCTCGTCCTGTCAGTGGGAATTATTTGCTATTAACAAATAAATATGAAAACGTACTTTTTTAGTGCCAAATGATACTAACTTTAATTAATAACATTAATAGCATGAATATCTGATTTAAATACTTATAAGCTATCTTGTAAGTCATGCTTCAAATTGCTTATATAATTTAATTTAAAAGCTGTTTATCACTGAGATATTTGGTTGCTTAGACTCAAAAAAGGTAATGTTTCTAATTACTGTTATTTAAAGAATTAATGACATTATTGTCTGGAGAATGAAGTGAGGAACAAAAGAGGTTGCTCTTTGAACATTTAGCAGTAGAAATTTTGTGCTGAAACTCTCACTGTTTCGAGGGTAGTTGTGTTTTGAGGGATCTGGTTGGGCTCTGCAGAAGTCGCAGGTCCTGTAGAAATGTTTGGAAGATTGGGCCCGCAGCAGTTCCTGTTGTGAGTTGAAGCAGTTTCCAAGATCTTGCTTTACAGATACAATCTCATGCTCCAGAGTAGCCAGGGGGGAAGCCTGGCCAGAGTAGTTCAGAGGAGACAGGATCAGGTCTTTACCAATTGAGGGTTTGATTGTTTTAACCTATACTTACTATAATGTAGGGAAAACCGCTGCAGATTTAATTCTAGAACTAGGAATATTTCAGACCAAGATTAAAAGGTTGGTTCTGCAGGAATGCTGCCTTGTTTTCTAAGCAAATGCTGCCCTGTGTTTTTCCTGTACTTACCTCATTGACTGCTGTTTTGTCATTTTCTCGTGTGGTATATAAGACCTTTCTTAGGACCATTTACATTTTGAGTTTTTCAACAAGGAGCATCAGATACCAGGCTGACAGTGCCCAGCATATACAGTCAGGGGAGTCTTTCCTGTCTCTATTATAGAAGAAAAAATGCTTCTCTTTCTTTGTACCAGTGCAGTTCAAATGGAAGCTTTTTACTTTTCCCTTTGTGTTCTGTGTGTGTGCATTTACTTAACAATATAAACATATAATTCCTGAAAGGTCTGAACAATTAATAAATTCATAGAAAAAGCAAGCTAATAATTCAAAATTAATTAAAATGTTACTACTAAAAATGAAAAGCAGTTGTTTAAACCTCATTTCATTTAAAATAATAATAGTCATACTGACCTGCACTGTCCATCACAGTGTGATACATGGTGCCTGGATAACTCAACTTACTTAACAAGAGTTTTATGAAGAGCGGTATTTTCTTACCTGACAAACTTGAAATTTTTTTTTGTATTCGTGTATTAGCAACCATGCCTTTAAGCTTTCGGCTAAATATTAATGTTTTACATGTTTTACTTGATGCCTCTTCTCATTCTATTCTGTGCTTTTTACTGCTGACTGGCTGTTCATGCAGCTTCACACACTGCCTTGCAGATCTTTAAATTTCATAGACATGACAGCAGTCACATGGAGCCTAATCTTTAGCTCACAGAGCAGATAGAGCAGATAGCAAAACTAATGGAAATTAAGAAAATTACATCTAGGTCTGGATTTCTAGCAAAATTTGACCTTATAAATATTTGTAAACTTAATCTGTAGCTTGAAATGGGTATTTGTCACTAAATTTTTATTTATGTGTATTTATAACTTTATTTACTTTTCTAGGAAAAACATATTTAGTATAAACTAAGAAATATAAAATAAATGAAAAATGTTCCAACAGTGATCTGGGGTGGAGAATTTGTCTCCAGGAGAGAATTTCCACCGCCGTTCTAGATCTTAGCTATGCAGCTTGATCAGAATTGTATGGAGCGATACCTGCCTTGGATCATTTTGTTTTCTGGTCTGACTATGTTGCTTGTCTTTTGCTAATAAGGAACTGAATTGTGCAAAGATATGATTTGATAAAATCGTTCTTATTTTAATTTTAAACTACAGCTGAATCCCTGGTTTTTTACTGTACTTGAAAAAAATAACTTTCAGTTAATACTTTAAAAACTGCTTTGTGAAGTGTCTGCCTTCAAAATAGGTTTTCAACCAAAGCAGGCACATTTTTTGTTCTAAAATCACCTCGTCAGCATTGGCCTATCAAATGAAATACAGACTCTGTGTTTTCATTTTTTAACCTTTTTGCAATATTATTCAAGCCTATTAATATGGTCTACCGAAATATCAAGAGCATAGTTTCACATACTTTCATTCTTTTTCCCAATCATAATGTTCTTTCCCTTCAATAGCTTTATTTATAGTCTTATATTAGAGTCAACATGATTCCAAATATGGAATTACTACTCAATTTGATAAAAGAAGGACCAGATTCTTCCCTGTTTGCTGATGCCTTTTCAGAGCAGAGCTGTAGTAATCAATGAACTGACACCATCTTAAAGCTCATTTTGAAACCTAGTGTTGAGACTGACTGATTTTAGGAAAAGTAAGGTCAGATCAGAGCATGGATTTTAACCTTATTTTTGCAGGTGCCAGGACCGTGTTTTGAAATAAAAAAAAAAAAAAAATTATTTATTCATGCAAAATTGTGTCCTTTCATGTTTTGTTAATTGATGGGTTTTTGCTGTAAGCACGGGCCATAATTTATTAATGCTGAATGGGTCTAATAAATTGTGTTGGTGCTTGTGGCTAAAGGTATTTGTTTTCTTTGTACAGGTATGTTTATCATAGTTCCAAGTGGATGGTGGCTGGTAATGCTGACTCCCCGGTGCCGCCTCGTGTTTATATTCACCCTGACTCGCCCGCCTCGGGGGAGACGTGGATGAGACAAGTGATCAGCTTTGACAAGCTGAAGCTTACCAACAACGAGCTCGATGATCAAGGGCATGTGAGTACTTGGTTTTCAGTGGCATTATGTGTAGGCACATTGCTCAGCCCTGAGAGGCTCTGATGTACAATTTCGGGGTGCCAGATTTAGGCTTGACTTTTCAGAGTTGTTTTGGAACTTTGCTGTCCAGATCTAAAAGCTTCTTACTTTCTGCTCCGATAATTAACTGCTTATTAGAGCCTGCTGTTTTACTCCCCCCTCAAATAGAGAACTCCTCCTGCAAAGTAAGACTTTACAAGGCTAAATTGCCTAATTCAGATGGGCAGAATTGCTCTGAGTATTTCCCACCGAGCGCGTTACTCGCAACTTCTGCTACGATCGAAAAGGATGCTTAAATTCACAAGTGGCTAGGAGAAACATTAATAGTGTGCAATAACTTCACGTGAATAAAAATACTCTTAAGTATTTTCTTAACCCAAACGTTTGTGTGAAATCCCGTGAGGTGTTAATAATTGCAGTCAAAAACGAACAACATGGGAGCTGGGTTTGCTCCGATGATGATTTATTACATACCTTATGAAGCAAGACCCTTTCACAGCTGAGGCTCATTACTTCTGAAAAAGCTGGCGAAGACGTATGCAGTATGAGTGTTCTGTTTGCAAGTTCTAAATTGTTTAGTTATGACATTATCTAATGTGACAAAATGTGTTATGTTAATATTTCCTTTTCTCTTCAAAACTGTTGAAACATGGCAGATGTAAGCCAGTATCATTCCAGCAATCCCTAAAATAGTTTTACTTGACACCTTAAGAAATAATTTAAAAATGAGGATTTTTTTAGTTAGGATGAAGTCTTTGATTTTACAAACCCCTGTAATAAATGGCAAATGTTGGCATCCTTTCAGAAGGAGCATCAGGTTCTAAGAGGTAGAGTTTTAAGATGTTAGAGGAAAGTTTTGAGGCAGGATGTGGATTCCATTGTCCTTAGCGTAACCCAATTTATTAACCAGGATACTTTCTCCTTCAATGAAAGGAGTGAAAGAAAATATACCTGGCAGAGAGCATAAAGTTACCACACTCAGCTTTCAGTATGGTTGTAACTCTGTGACATTGAGCCAGGTGTTTTGCTAACACGTAGTCTGAAATTTTTCCCCCTTATTTGTGTTTGCAAATGCGATTAACGGAGGCAGGAGTACAGGAGTGTGGCTACCAAATGTGATAACAAGGATAAAAAGACTTCCATTTGTGCAATAATTTTCATTATTTTATTTTGTTCTTCCTTAAAAGAAATGTGGGGTAGTCACATCTCTTAAGTTAGCAGTGCTTTTCTTAGGATAGTACAAAAGAGGTTTTCTATTGCTCTTTTCCAGAATTACAGTTATGGAGTCAGATTTGGCAGTATCCATTTGAGTTAAGATTGGCACATGATGTTCCTTTAGTTTCCCCAGCATTCATGTATTTGTGACTCCTCTCAAGAGGGAGTTGTTTTCCCTGAATCCTTAGTCTATTGTAAGGGCTCTGAAAGTGAAGCAGATGCAGATGGATAAAATGTTGTTTTTCCGGCAATGAGCTGGTTTTTGTACTGGGTGGGTGCAGAGGGACGATCTGTGGGTACTGTGGTCCACCTGTGCACTTGCAGTTGCAAACTACCCTGTGATAAAATCTCAGCTATGCGGAGAATTGTGTTACTGTATTTTTCCATCCCAGATTTTAGCTTTGTTTTTACTCTGAACTGAAACCTGTGTAGTGTACACATCACGCCGTTATTTATAATATGGGGAGATATAAATTTTCTGGTCTTTAGCTAAGTATTTTGGCTTGAAAATGAGGGAAGCAAAGCTCAAGTCCAGTTATTTGACACACATTGAACTGATTCAGTACCCCTCCTCCCCAAAATGGAAATTTAAGTATTAAAATAAAAGGACAAAAGAAGGATTACTGTAAAATAATTTCATATTTCTCAAATCTGGGAAATTGCAAACATGTCATTCATAATTACCAGAAAAGGCAAAAGCAGAAAGCAGAAAAGTGTCTCTTCCAATGGGTACATTTTTTCTTTTAAAGCTATGGTAGTGTGGAATGCTGTATTGAAAAAGCTATGTAGCCTCTGAATGCCTCTAGCAATAATGGAAAACGAATAATCATATTTTGTGATGAATATAAAAACCAATTGTTTCTCATAAGCGGGAAGAAACCATTTTTTGTCAGGAGGGTAGCAGGGGACGGATGGCGAATTAGAAGAGCTATGAGTCAAGGCTGTAGTGTCCCTCCAATATTTGTTCTTATATCAGAAGTTCTGACTCTCCCACTCCTGTATGGGGCACGGGGTGTATTTTAGATTATTAGAAAGTATTGTTTTTCCCTCTGGTGTGTAGGCAGAGTGGTTCAGAGAAACCTCGATGGGGTTTCCACCAAGCAGCATTGGGCTTTAGCTGTTGTTCTTTGGGAGTGCTTTCCCTGCTTTTGGGTTCTGGCAATATAATCTTTGTTGAAATTGTTCCTTTATGCTTCCTGTGCTCATCAAAGCTTTTTGTAGAGTTTTTGTGTTAAAATCCCGGGGGTAGGTTTCGATTGTGCAGGCGTTGAGGTAGGAAGATGCATGATATTAATCTAGAGCCCTTTTACCTATTCTGGAGTATTAACTCTCAGAATCTCTGAGAGAAGTGGCCCATGTCCGTGGGAATAGAGACAGGATTTGCAAATAGGCACTAAGGTAGAATTCCTATGAAGTATTTGTGTTGTGGTAGTAGCTGGTGGCAGCCAGTTCATTCCCCTTGCATTGCGTTGCCCTGGGATTAGCAGTCTGTGAAAGGAGATCAGCCATCTCTAAGAGTCACTGCTCGAGCACCTTCCAGATTCTGTACTGCCTGCTGCTGTTTTCATCAGCCTTTCAAGTGGGAGTTTGTGACTATGCAATTTTATAGTGCTGCTCAGCTCAGAGATTTTGAAGTATGTATCTGCACATAGGACACTCTGATACTTGAGTTCCACTTGCAGTCTGCGGAGATGAAGCAAAATTTGTACAGGCATGTTTTCCTTGTGTGTTTCTGATCTCAAAAGGATTTCCAGGGTGAATTCCCTGCTTTGGAAATGCTGTGTTCTTACGGAGTCATTAAGACACACACTGTGGGTTTTGTGTGTTTCATCTAAGTTGTGATGCTAAGGAAAAGTAAACCTGGGTTTTGCAGTTGTCCCTGGAAAGTGCATGGTCTGGATGCTCTTTGTAAATGCCTCTCATCCCTCTCTCAACTGTGGAGTGAGTGCTGCATTGTAAAAGCAGTTTCTCCCTCCGGCTGGTTAGAGCTGGCTGATTTTTCTATTTCAATGCAGTTTCTAAACTGAATTTCAGTGGAGGGGAAAAGTCAATATTTTTTATGCTATTTTCCATGCTTTTCAACTGAGTATTTTTTGATGCAGAGAAGCATCTTTTAACTTTTAGTGAAAATGAGGCTGTTAGTGTGTTAATTGTTCCTTGGTGGTTGGGGTGGGATTTTTTCCCCATTTAAAAGTGGGGCGAGGCTGGAAGCAGAGGCAGACTGTAACTCTGCCCAGACTTGGCTCCAAGTAGCGAGCTCTGCTTACAGTCAGTGGGCAGTTATATGTTCTTGTCACAATGAAAAGCTGTGAAACATCACTATTTGCACTTGCAGTTTTTGTCTTAGTACAGAGGGAATCCATACTCCTCAGCCCCACACACTTCTCTATCTGCAGAGAGCCTGAGTGCTTGCGCTTTGGAGGGAGGATAAGGAGAATTTTTGGCAAAAGCAGCAGCAAAGACCCTGTTGATAGTGGGGAGGTGTCTGTATTGTCTTTGCAATGCCAAGTTGCTGGAGGATTGGCGTCTCCCCTATGAAGGAGCATTTGGCTCTCATTTGTTCTGGCTGAGATGGTTGTGCCATGGTGGTGCTCATGCTCAGGGTCAGCTCTGAGACCTCATCGTGGCAGCAGCTCTCAAAAGCCATTGCAGAGGTAATCCCAGCTCTGTGTGTCTGTCTGCAGGTGCTCTGGTGGTCTTTGCTCTGCCTCCTACCTGTGGGCTCCTTGCTGCAGTGTCATCTGCCTGATCATGGTTTCTTGACAGCTATATAGTATAATTTTACTCTTTGTGAGAGAGGTTTATTCCTGCATGAAGTGTTTTGACCTTGTTCTGTGAGGACTTTGTAGAGAGGGGCAGGCTCTTCAGCTGTGAGTTGAATGTAATGTCAGTTCATATTTGGGAACACAGTGAGACTTCCAGTTGGGGTTTTTTGGTGTTGGATTTGAAGGGCATGAAAGGAAAGTTGCTGTTTCTGCAGATTAACTGTTAGATCCCCTTGGTGCTTCTGAATGTGCAAGCACTGTGAAATGAAATGCCGGAATCTCCTTTTCCTTAGCTTTTTCTTCACAGTAGCTTTAGGTGATGCTTTGAATAATAGAGCTAGACTGTTTTTGGAGTGGATGTTGAATTTCCCTCTCGTTTTATGTCCTGTCTTCATATGTTGCTCTTTAATTCACAAGGGCTTTGCAGATATACATTATTTAGAGTTCAGAGTCCTTCAGATCACTAACAAAAATCCCATTATTAGAAGACATGATACAAAATCAAGAAAAAAAATATTGCTATCGATTTGCTAATTGCCAAAACAGTGTGTCAAGGCAGGAAATTTCAGTACACGACAGAGGCCAGACAGGTTGCTCTTCGGAGATGACACGGATCAGTTTGGCTGTAATAGCCACCCAGATAAGAAGTGGGAGGTGTTCATCTTTGTGCTGCTTTGATTTCACTTGTTCTGATGTGTGAGCAGAGCTCTTTGTAGCTGCCAGGGTTATCGGTGATGTGTGGGCCAGCAGTGGTTTGCACCACAGAGCTGATGGGGTCAAGTAATCCATGTGGGAGAGAATGTGGCACGCTCAGTGGCACCCAGACAAATGGCAAGGCACAGAATAGCAGTGGATTCGAACTGTGCAACATCTTTTCTTGATAATTTCTTTTTCTGTTGCACCAGTATCTCCCCTGGTACCACTGGGTGTTCACAGGAAAATGGGGTGAGGAACGTGCAGTCCTCTCTGCATTTTCATTTTGTAGATCTTTGCTGTTGGAGAACTGAAAGGAGTATTGTAAAAGAGAAAATACTTTTGCACGACCAAAAAATCTTGCTCTGTTCAAGATTTCAGAAACTTGAAAGAGACTTTATATGAGAACATCCATAGGGCACTCCCTGACCAAATTAATTTGGGCCTCCAATGTCATTGTCAAAACCTTACTCAAAGGCTAATAAAACCCTTGATTATCCAGAAACTTGCCTTACCAAAACAGTCATGTAATCTGGCCAGGACCAAGTGTATTAAACCAGCCAAACTCTAATTTATCCAAATGAATGTGATGTCCTCTATGCAATTTGGGTGAATGGACTTCCATGGTGTCTGACATAAGGGCTCTGTTGAGTGCTTGAGCACACGCATATTCTGAGCCTGCTCAAGGAGCAGGAAATTAAAAAGCTTCCCTAGAATGTTGATTAGTGGTTCCATAGGCCAATAGCCATAGGACTATTTATTTATCAAGTTACTAATTTCTTAGGGCTTCCAACAATAATAATTGAACTTCAATTTTTTTTCTTCTTGAAATCTTCTATTTTAATAGTGGTTAGCTGAAGTGGTGTAAAATAGAGGAAAAATTCTGTATTTTAATTCTCCTTTAAAATTGGGGTGCAGTATCAAGAGATATTTGTGTGTTTAATTTTATGCAGTATAAGTTAATCCACTTTGCTTTTATTATTTATTTTTGATTGAGTTTTTTGTATTCTGGGAGGGGTTTTTTAATTGAAAACATTGTCTGTTTTATAAATTGATTAGCACTAACACTTCAGAATTCTGGGTTTTGTTATGATTTTACTCTTAAGTTTATGCTTCTTCAGAGTGTGAGAGTCTCAGCTTGTGTTCCAACCAAGATTTGTTTCCAGCCTTTGGGATATAAGGAAAAAATTGTTCCAATACATATCCTAAAGGTTCCAAAAACAAAAGGCAAATTCCTGCTGCTGTTAATCCTGTTAGGTCAAATCCAGACTTCAGTGGAAAAAAGTGACAAAACTTTCATAATTTCAGTGGGACCTGGACTTCACTCCTGATTTATCTTTTTTTTTTTTTTTCCTTCTTTCTTTCCTTTTTTGAGCCTGTTTCAATTGAGCCAGTCTCTGAATTGGGAGCTCCTGAGTCGTAATTTTTAAATGCTTAGGGTTGGCAATAATATAAATGCACAGGGATTAGACTACTGTAACAAGAACCTCCAGAGGTTAAAGAAAACATTTTATTTCCAGTAAGTGGCATGGTAAACACATACCATAATCTGTTCCAAAAAGTTATTAGTCCTGAAACAGCAGGGTGTCCTTTCTAACAAGTGTTATCTTTTTTCTTTCGTGACCATGTAGATTATCCTTCACTCTATGCATAAATACCAGCCTCGTGTGCATGTCATCAGAAAAGACTGTGGTGATGATCTGTCCCCTGTCAAGCCCATCCCTTCAGGAGAAGGGGTGAAAGCCTTCTCCTTTCCAGAGACAGTTTTCACTACTGTCACAGCATACCAAAATCAACAGGTAATTTGGGCTTTCTGATTAGCACTTTACAGCCTTTTCAGAGCAGACCAGAGATGTAAGAGATAGGAGAAAAGCAGATAGTTTCATTATATCACTTATTCAAGCAGAATTATCTTAACTCTTTTTTTTATTACAAGTAGTTTTCACTGTATGTATTGCTGTAGTGCCTGGAGGCTATAGCTGAACCTTCAGAGATGCTGCATGTAAAAAATCTTTCTTATTATGGAGATCACACAGTCTAATTAGCATGCTTAATGGTGTCTTGATTATAAACACAGAGTTGAAGAACAAGGCAAAGAGCAGTCTAGTTTTTAAAGGTGTTTCTATACCTTTAAATGTAGATATGTGTCTGGAGAGAATTTTTAAAGCACTTTTGCTCCTGACTCCAGTGCTTTTAATACTCCTAAGATCTTAACAGAGAAGCTGAGTTCTGAAGAAAGTTGCAGTTGTTTATATTAACTGCATTCAGCTTATATTATTAAGGGCAATTTATCTGGGTCCACACGGATTCAAAGTCAAAAGTAAACTGCAGGTTGTATCACTCGGCTCTTCCTACCTCTCATCTAAGTATTGGCATACATAATGACACCATAGCTAGTGTTGTGACATCTTATTAATTCCATATAAATTATTGCAGCTGTATTTTTTGAAACTACATATGCATGGATAACTTTACAAAGAGAAGAGCAGGAGAGCCATGTAAATACTGAAATATAAGTATTTGGTGACTTTCCCATGCATTAAAATAAATTACAGTTATTTGGGTTGTGGTGTGTTTTGTTGGGTTGTTGGTTGGTTGGTTGGTTTGGTTTGGGATTTTTTTCATGGAGGATAATAACCTAGAGATAATCTCTCTTTACACATTTCTTTTTTGACCAGTACAGAAATAAAATTTAATTTAAATTTTATTGCAGTTAGACAATATAGTCTCTTAAATGAAGAAGGGCATTTGCCTGACGTTTTTTCTCAGTAATTCCAACTGGAATTAGCAGCTTTAAACACCTATTAGCATCTCCAGGGATGTGCAAAAAGAATGATCAGAAGATTGGGCTTTATTTGGTCTTTTATTTTTTCAGGACAACCATCTAAAACCATATAAATATGAAGATGTTTCCTCTGTCAGCTTTTTTTCTGTCAGGAGAGTTGTTTTCTGTGCTACTTATCTGAGTTTACAGGTAACAATTTCTCTTAATCATATTCACAGATAACTCGTCTGAAGATTGATAGGAATCCATTTGCCAAAGGCTTTAGAGACTCGGGCCGTAACAGGTAGGTGTTGGGAAGGAACTGGGCTTGTTCCTGCTCACAGAGTCAGCTTGTGAAAGCTGTTCTTACAGACCTATACTTACAGACAAACTAATTTGAGAACTCAGACTCCTTGAGGGACCACTGAGACTTCCCAGTAATGTTCTCTGTGGTGAGTTCCCATTGCTACACCTGTGACCATCTGGGTCAAGAGCAGACTGGCACTTGGCTCGTCTCATGTACTCAAGTTTCCTTTCCCTGGAAGCAGTGACACATCATGAAGGCTGCAAATGGACTTAATGTATACTCAGCTCCATGATTTCAGGCTGTGCTAGAAATCTCCTCTTTCTCCTGGCTGGAGACACAAGTTGCAGATATACCATTGTCAAACTACAGGTGCAGGTTCTCTTGCATGTAAGTGGCATATAGCATAGATTTATGGCTTGTTTCCTCCTTAAGGGGGAGAAACTGGTTTGTGCAGTAACCTTTAGTAACTTGCCTAGGAAGTGGGCCTATTTAGTCTAAGAAGTTTTAAATCCACTTCCTAGGTGAATACCTTTTCTAGCAGGTTATTCGAGACCTTGAAATGAGACTGGTTTCCACCTCTTCTGTTGCAGATGGACTAATTAATTGCTTGTTTTCTCTTGATCCGTGAATCTTTCAAAATAGCAGTGGGAAACCTGAGTAGTTCAAAGTGGAGATTTAGGTCTGGGCTGGGCTGCCAGTGCCGATGAGGTATTTTATCCAACGACTGTTTAATGCAAGCTACTTAAGCCTGTTTTGAATTGTATGTTAAACCATTTCAGCTAAAAAAAAGAGCAATATTTCATTGTGGTGTATAGTATACATCAGTTCCAGCGACCACATTGTGTTTGGTGTCTGCAGCTGCTATATTTATGACCAGGCCTTGCAGAGAAGGGAGCAGACTGTGCTGGTAGGAATGATCAGAGAGTTTCTTTTCTATGGTTGCTTTATTGAGCTTCTCTGTTAGCAGAAGCTACAGCATTAAAGCCTATTTTGTGTTTACACCTGAGTTACATAAAATCTGAAACTGGACAGCAAATTAGAGTAGTTTTTGGAAAATGAATACTTATAGGAAGGATGAAGTAGTTGTAAAGAGGCATTCACTGTAAGTATCTTTTCAGTATGTCTCAGATTTTGTCTTCAAGCAAGAAATAAGTATTCATGTTCTGTGGCCACTGACATAAATGGAGTTTTGCCCTCTTTTGTAGCCTTGTGGTTAGAAATTAAGTGAACAGTAGCTTCCATTTAAATGCAGTGGCTGAAGAAGCAAAACATACTGTGTGTCCTTTAGGAAGAAAAGGGTTTCCATACGTGCCCTGTTTGAAAGCTCTCTCTCTCACAGGCAGTGTCTCTGCTTGCTATTAATAAACTAATATGCTTGCTATTTGCAGAACTATGAAATAAGTACTATGGAATTTCCTAAAAGGTGTGAAACCCTGATCCTCTGAAACATGCAAATTTAAGTGGACTTAGAATTTCTTCCATAATGTTATACGAAAGAAGAAAAGATAGCCTTTTAGACAGAAAGGAAAGAATTGTTCAGAAACCAGTTTTGAATGGGTTTTAATGCGGCAGGACAGCTCTGGAGTTATCTGAGAATGATGTAAGAGTACTGCATCTGCAACCACACAAATACAGTTATGGGACTGGGTATATCCAGAGAGGGTTTTGGTTTTTTTTTTTGGCTACTAGGAATAGTCTGGTTCAGGCATTAGAAAAAAACTGGATATTTTGATTGATTTTGATTTTTTTAATGGAAGTGGATTAAGAAGGCGAGTCCTGAAGGAAGAGTCAGCATCTCTAAAATGTTTTGAAGCAGGCTTTAGATGAGGTCTTAGTGCTTTTATTCTACAAGTGTGCTCGTTACAGAATTGACTCTGCAAATTCTTGTTTGTTGCAAATTGACATTGTTTATCTGAAGTCAGTATCACTGTTTTCTTTTATAGTCTGCATTACTGGCTAAGTGTGGTTGGGAATTCAGCTCAGAAATTTAATTGTCAAGGAAAATTTCTATTGGTATACTCAGTACTCTGTTACTAAATACTGAAATTAAATGTTATTTTTCTGTTATCCTCATTGTTCTAGCTGATGTGTTTAGCGTTGAGGCATTTTAGTCCGCAATAAGTTAAAAAATACACTGTGGTAAAATTATACCTGACTTTTCAATATTGCTTTATTGCAGCTATCTTACTCTGCATTGCGACATGCAGTAATTCTCTTTAATTAAAAATAAGCCCTTCTAGGTCATTCCCGTTTAGTCCCACAGGCTATTTTACAGAAATCAGTAGCTTCACCCTTTAAAAACATTCCCTGTGCATTTGCAAAGTGCAACAGAATTTATGTGCTGAGAATAGTTTCATTCTTCAGTTGGGTCTTAAGTTTGACCCTGTAAAAACTTTTACTCAGGAAAGGACCAGAATTTCTCCCTTTAAATACTTTGGGAAAAACATAACTGTTTTGTTAAATGAACTTGGGCATTTGATAGCGCAAATTAGGCTGGTGATAAAATGTGGAAATTGTTCGAAGGCATCTTGTATAAATTATCGCCTTGGCTACACTCCTCCAGGAGGTGGCTTTTATCTCCACTTTAACTAGAAATGAAAATTCACCATTACTGCAGAAAATTAAGGCTATCTTTTTAGTCCATGTTCAGCTAATAAATGCTTTATAAATGTTTCCTGACAGACATTTGTGTTCCTGCTGGAAGGAGTAGTATCAGAACATGCTGGTTGCTTCAAATTGGGCTATTTGCATAATTCAAGTTTACAAAGTACTGCTGCTCAAAGGCAAGCACTTGTGTTTGGTGGGTGCCTGATGCTGACACAGGCGTCTGCGGCCCAGAAGTCAAAAATAACAAGCCAAAATTATACTTCTAAGTTTATATACCTCTGAGGTGCATTTTTCATAAATAACTGTCAGAAAACAAATGGACCTTTACCTTCAGGAAACAGAGATTCTTCTAAATAGTGTCTGCCACCATTGTCTACACAGTTACTTATGTTTTCTTGGGACGCTGTTGCAAAAAAATGAGGGAAGACTTTCAGTTTCTAAAGGCATTTTGCTTAGCAAAACAACGTTGTTTTATACATGAGTTTAGTAGTAAAACAGCTGCACATCCATGCTTTGCTCATGTTCTAAGTGAGATTTTCCAGCGCATGAGTAGTGACTGGAAATCCTGTTTTAATAGAAGTTGTTGGTGGATCATCTTTTTTTTCTGGGAAGAAATAGCAGATTATTCCTCTGGCAGTTAAAATTTTAAACATTTAAACCCTTAAAACTTTAACTTAAATTCAAAAATTTTAAACACAAAGCACTTAAAATAATTTTAGCCAAGTCTTCCCACTCTAACAGCCCACCCAAAAGGCCCAAAACACTGGAATAGAGAGCCAGGCTTGTGGAATTGGAAAACACTTTTTGTGCTGTCAACCCAGTGGTTGCAAGTCTCAATGGTCTCATGGATAGGCTGTAAGGCTCTTTTTTAAAAAGCAAAATCAAGCTGAAAATAATCCTGAAATGTTACAATTTTTATATGTTTTTATATGTTTCTGAGGTAGAGTATCCAGAGACATGTGGCAAAATACAGCTTGCTTTCATAACACTGTGATTCTTTTGTTCTAAATAGAATGGGACTGGAAGCTCTGGTAGAGTCTTATGCCTTCTGGAGACCTTCACTGAGGACACTTACATTTGAAGACATACCTGGGATACCCAAACAAGGTAACGAGTGTCTTTGTGTTCTTCCAAAACAAAAATGAAAGGTGAAGCTTTGCCCATCATACCTTAAAAAAGTCTAGGTAAGTGTGGCACTCACAAGACAGAAACAACCAACTAACCACAGTGCAGCCATCATCAGAGTTACTCTAAGTTAGAAAACCAATGCTAACTCAACCACCCTGGCAATAAAAATGTTAGATTGTAAAGAAAAATCAGATCACATGTGGAGGAGAATGCCAGTTACTTAAGGATTGAATAACCTATTCCTTGGTTATGCTCTGGCTACATACAAAAGGTAGAGATCACTTACAGATTACTTCTGTTGTACACATCCAAACTGCATCCAAACTACTTGTGTTTTCAGGAGAAAAAGTAATGAGAGAATAAATGCTCTCTTAAGTAATGAGTAAATAGGAGAAAGCTTAATTTGTTTTCTTCTTGATTCTTAAAGACCTTTACATTGTTCAGTAAATGGGCCAACATATTTTATCTGCATCCTAGAGCTTAAAGAAATGGATCTCCTCTCCATTTTGCTTTTTCCTGCTCCTCACTGTTTGTTGGAAACTTCTTTGTTTCCACTTTCCCCATTGTGCAGGTAGTGTCATGAATGAGAAAAATATTTAAATGGCCCATTTGGACACAGAATGGAATCTCTGTACTCTTTTCTGAATTATTTTATTTACAGAGTATGCCAATGCACATAGAAAACCTCTCAGCCTTTTACCAGCTAAATCAGACATATTTGTTCCAATTTTTCACATTTTCTGTCACCAAATTTACAAACATCCAATCTCTTTCCTTGATAATGTATTGATACAAAGTTGTTAAACATCTTCAGAACAAAAATCCAGAGCATAGAGAAATTCAGAGAAATCACTTTTGTCGACTTCTTAGTTCACTCCTCTGAGAAATCTTGAGTATCAGTTCTTGATATGGGCAACTAAAAGAGGTTTTGTGCCAAGTCACAGATACATTGGATGAGCGCTGGCAGAGTTTTGGGAGTAACATGGGGGTGAGGGACAGTCTCAAACAGGCATTTAATGAGAAGATAGACTGAGACCTGAAATACCTTGTCAGACTGTGTAAGACTGAAAGGCAACTGACGATGCAGTTAATCCTTTTAGGAGACAGACCAGCTTTATTGGCTGTCTGTATGGAGGAGCATTGTTTGAGAGCAGGGGACCTGCTGCCGTGAACTTCTCACTTTCTTTTCTGATGTTGCCTGAGGTTAAGGAGATTGTTGAAGTTACTCTTGATATTCTGAGGACGGAAACTGGGATCCTTGCAAAATCTTTAGTCATCTATACCTTGGACATAGAGACTTTGTGAAAGACTCAATTTGAAATTTGTCCTGGTTGTTGACGTTAAAAGTGCCCATCTTCAAGTACTGGAGGCATTGATGGACATTAAAAGATAAATGTGTCTTATACCAGGATTTCTGTAATGTGGCTGTGTCTAATGGTGCCTTATGCTTGTGGTGTCCTGTTAACAGAGAAGCAGCAGCAGGCAGTATTCATTAATAATATATATTTTTTTTTACTAGCTCACCTATTATGATAATCTCTTAACTTATTGACAGCACTTCTCTCTTTGCAGCATCAAGCTGTTTGATTGTTAATGTGATTCATAAACAGAAGGTCTTCCTTATTAAGCATCTTCTGCCTGGGAGATTGTAAAAGGCCCCAGTTAATTTTTTTAAACTGAGTTTTCAGAAAGATGCAATCTTTTAAGAAAAGGAATTGTTCCTTGCAGCTGGGAAACTTTCAGTCCCAAGAAAAAGCTTCACCATAGCAAGCCATGTGTTTTCAGGAGCATTCAGCACTGGTATTTGTAATATAAAAAGTTCTGATATCAGGAAATGAACAATTTGCAAACAGTTTGCTGCACTCCTGTGCATTCAATAAATGAAGAAGCTATTCGCAGTATTTAGCTTACACTTTTCCTGTAGTTGTTCTGAATTTGTTTGGTTGTTCTCAGAATTTTTTGGTTTGAAGTCAGAACTTTTTTCTTCTGAAGTTTTGTTCTGAAGCTGGAAACTTTTCTGGAGCTGTTATCTGTGAGAGCTTCTGTCATCTCAGCTAAGGAGCTGCTTCCTCAGCTGTTGCTCTGGTAGTGACAGTCAGGCACAGAGTGCTTGGAGCACATGCTGGACTGTAGCAAGAGCATAGACAAGCCAAAAATCATCATTTTGAAGAAGGCTTCCTGTGATGTGGTACTCACTTGTCTACAATTTAATTGCCATGCAATTTCCTTCCATGTCATATAAGAAGCAGTTAACCTTTTGGGCAGGAGCTCTAAGTACTGAGTGATGGTTGTAAAAATGTAACTTGAGTTCTCTTTCTTGGTCAAGTTGTTTCTTTAGAAATATGCATGTGGTTTACTCACACATTCTCTTGCACATGTATGTAAAAGTTTTTAATTAATTGAGTTGGATTTCATCTCAAGGGTTATTATAAAAGACAAAAGTCTTGATTTTTCACCCAGGAAGTGGACCCTTCCCAATGTGCTTCTTACACTGTGATATTCTCTTCCAGGAAATGCAGGTTCCTCTACTTTACTCCAGGGATCTGGCAGTGGAGTGCCATCTACCCACCCTCACCTTTTACCGGGTTCCCCTTGCTCATCTCCAGCCTTCCACCTCAGTCCCAACACTAGCCAGCTGTGTACCCTTGCTCCAGCTGACTACACAGCTTGTGCCCGCTCAGGCTTGACCCTGAACAGATACAGCACCTCCTTGGCTGAAACCTACAACCGGCTCACAAACCAGACCAGTGAGACCTTTGCGCCCCCAAGGACTCCCTCCTATGTCGGTGTGTCCAGCAGCACAACTGTGAATATGTCCATGAGTGGCAACGATGGGGATGCATTCAGCTGCCCGCAGACTGGCTTATCCATGCAGATTTCAGGGATGTCTCCACAGCTCCAGTACATCATGCCTTCCCCATCCAGCAATGCCTTTACCACTAATCAACCCCACCAAGGCTCCTACAACACGTTTAGACTGCACAGTCCCTGTGCGCTCTATGGATATAACTTTTCCACATCCCCTAAACTGGCTGCCAGTCCTGAGAAAATCGTTTCTTCCCAAGGAAGTTTCTTGGGGTCCTCGCCAAGTGGAACCATGACGGATCGGCAGATGTTGCCCCCCGTGGAAGGAGTGCACTTACTTAGCAGTGGGGGGCAGCAGAATTTCTTTGACTCTAGGACCCTAGGAAGCTTGACACTCTCATCTTCTCAAGTGTCTGCACATATGGTTTGATGAAGCCTTTAAGTAAAAGTACAGTATGTTTGGTGTCTACAATGTATTTCTTTTGGAATATGAAAGGACACTCGATGTAGCTTGTAAAGTGTGTGTATATATAATATGAGAGGAAGTTTCACTGAAATTTTGACTTGCTTGTGGCCAGATTGTTCTCCCATTTTGAGTTACACAGAGTTTGCTGCAGTGCAGACTGCTTTAGTTTTCTGGTATAATACACTTAGTTGTATAACACATTGGGACATATGCAACAAATTAAGTAAGACTTCCTCCCCTTTCCCCCTCCTCTGTTCTAACCCCTTTAAAGAATGAAGTGACACTTGGAGTATTAAACAACACAAAAAAGCCCACTTACATTTCCTATAGTACTAGTGAGTTTCTTTAAAATACTCATACAATAAGCTGATGCAAATAAGGCATTTTACAAGTTTCTTCTCTGTTATAAGGGATACGAAGGGTATTTGGACTTCTTAGTGTTAAGCATCAAGCACCTAGCCTAAAATAGAAGTTTAGATAATGGATTATTTACAAAGTAAACAGAAAGATTAGTTTGCCTTTTCATTATATGCTGTTTTTAGCTTATCAACAGCACAGCATTCTCAATAGGATTTGTTTTTTTCAGCATTAGTCTAGATTTATGATTATATATTTGAAGACAGATAATATGTATTCAAATTGTGGTGATAGGAATAATTCAAACCAACAGCACTAGAAGCAGCATTCCTTTGTATGAAATGAACATTGGAGTGCTTAATTTTGGTCAAAGGTAGGGCTTGATGCATTTTTTCCTCCATAAATATTGCCTATAAGACATTTACTGGACAGTAGGATATTCTAATGTATCTTTGTTTTTGTATTTTTACTTTTTTAAAGGAAAATGCAGTTTGATTTAGGAAAAAAAAATGAGCAGGATGAGAAATTCCATTATTGGTTTTACTTGTTTTGCGTGTGTGATGTGTTTTGGGTTTGGTTTTGTTCTTTTGTGTTTGCTTGGCTGTTTTTTTTTTAAATAAGGGCGAAAGGTCCTGCATCCTCAGTATTTCAAAAATACATCACCTATATCAATTAGGCAGATGACCCAGTTTGCCCAAAAGTATTTCTGGAAGCAGAGCATTGTCATAGCTGCCTTCCTGTTGCTCTTGTTTTGTCCTGGAATTGGAGAGGTTTCCTTCATTCCCACTTCTGGTTTCTAAATGGCACTTAAATGGAATTTCTAAATGGTAAGAATGTAGATCACCATCTGCTCCTGACCAGATTCTCCAGAGTGACCAGGACACAGGGAGATACCGTGGTGAAATTTCTGCCCTCATCTGCACCTGCACAGCCCAGGTGTGTATCAGTCCTTCTGCAAAAGCTGCCTCTCAGCTGCCTGTCTGTCAGAGCTGAACCACAGAGGTTGTGAAACAAATTTTAGTGCTTGGGAGAACAGGTCATCTTCAACAGTGTGCTGATCCTCATGTATATTGTGCAGGTGATGTAAAGGCATTGTAAAGTGGGTACAGATGTAGTTGAAAATGCTTCCCCAGTCAAGATTCCCTTCCAATCTTAAGGAGATTAAGGTCTTTCAGGTTTATGTTTGTTGGGTTTTTTGGCAAAGGTGAATTTTCATGTGTCTGAAGTGTTTCTATATCTTTTCAGGCAAATAGTTCTTTCCTTCTCACCAAATGTCAAATGTGCAAAACCAGCACTTTGCCTTACACATTCTCACTTCGAAGAAACTCATTTTAGCTAATATTTCTTCAGTGGGATGGCGATAATACATGCAGAAACAGCCCTCTTGCTACCTCCTCTTATCTGGGAATAGAACAGCAATCTTTAAGCCTGTGCCTGAAGAATGCTTTATTTCTATTGGTTATGTATTTGTTTCTGTTAAAGATATGTGTAAAGTTCTCATCCAAAGTTAGAAAGAAAAGATGATGCAATTGAGGTGATGTGGGTTTGCTTCTCTGTTGTCTTAGATTTTCTCAGAAAGGTCACTTAGAAAGTTTAAGTTCACGCGGTCTCGATCAGATTTTTTTCTTCTGAAAAATGTGATAATAGCACTTCTCTTCCCCTGAGGAAAGGGTGACAGTACATTGAAGATGAAGATCATCTTTACATTTGCTGTGCTGTGGACAGTGTGTTACAGATGAATGGCTGGGGAGTGTTCATATATGAGGATAACAAAGAGCATTCGTGTATTTCAACTCTGTCGCTGGTCTTGGGAGTGCAGTGTCCTTTGTGGCAAACTTCCTAGAGAAGACCTGCAATGCTAAAAATGCTATTCAAACTGATGCCAATGGTTTGTGAAATGCTTCTAAGGTGTGTAGAAGATGGAAAAATTTTCAACTATGCAAATTGTTGTAGCTTTATTGGTTTAAATTAAGAAGTAACTTGTGTATAGTTATTCCTGCTCTAGCCAAAACTTTGAAATTTTGCAGCTGGAAAAAGACATAAGTGGAAAGATGGTACAATTAATCTGTACTTGAAAAAGCATAAGTAGCCATATCAACTTAAGAGCTAGGTAGAAATGTGGAAGACCTAAATCATGCATGTTCCTATAAGGAGAGGAAAAAAACCAGAGGTTGTGCACGGATGTTCATGGTGGTGCTCCTGTCAAGACTATGTATTTTATTGTCTGGGAATTTTTTAGAACTGGTCTCTTATTTTTCCTCAAATTATTCTTATCATATAACCACACAATATTGTTTTATTTTTTCCTTAAAATTTAAATCATTGTAAATACTGGTTTGTCGTTGTGAAAAGACTAGCTTTTTATCAATACAGTAAATGCTATATATGCATTATATCTATAATTATATATCTGTATTTTACAAAAATGCCACAGAAAATATATTAAAGTGTGTATTCAAACACTTTTTACTACATTTGGAAAACTGAGAGGCTTGGGCCTATTTTTTTCACTATAGTTTCAACAAGACCAAAGGCAGTGACTCGAAGGTAAGCCCTGAATTTCAGAGACTTAATACAACAAGCTCCAACAAGTCCACAATTCTTTAACCACATGCAGTTGGACTTATCTCGTTATTTCTATGCAAAACAATCTTCTCAGCAGATGCTGTGTATAAGGAGATACTCGGCTGAAAGCAGAGCTGTGAGGTTTTTATGTGGGGAAAAGGACTGAGCTGCTTGCCAGGGTCTTTAGCCAGTGATGGAACTGTAGTACTTCTCACAGCCCATGTCATCCCAGCTGCCAAGACCAGTTCAGCTGCCCTGTATCAACTGGATCTGAGAAGTGAGCTCTTCCATGTGACCAGTTTCTTGAGTGGGAGCTTGGTACTCTGCAGTTTTTCTTTCTCTGTATTTCTTTGGTAATTTGCCCTTTGGTTCTGCTAGTTCTAAATGCAAGAAGCCATTGATTTTGAAGGCAGAATTTACAACCAATAATCATCTGGGTATACTGTTACTCAGCAGTGAGCAGCATTTCTCCCTCCAGAAATACTATTAGGCATAGTGGCCTTATTTCCTATTGTACTGCAATAAATGATTCCATGTGACGTAGGGCACAGGGCCTGAAAATCTGATTATTTCAGAGACTAGGGTTTCATAGTCACTTAACACCACCATTGTTGCAAATGACCAGAATTAGGACAAGAGAAGTAGGCATGAAATGCTCGATCATAAATATCAGACCTCCAGGGAGAATGAAAGCTTCTGTTTTTAATAAAAGAACAGTCTATTTTTTTTTTTCCTAATAACACCATCAGACTTTAGGAGGGCTCATTTCTGCTTCAGCAGGGAGACAACTGGAGCAACTTGAAAGTCATGGACATTGTTGTCATTAATACTAGTAAGCCTGTACCTTAGGAGTTCAACAGAAAAAAATATAAATCGTCCTCAGAAGTAGCTCACAAGTTATGTGGGTATATTTTTTTGTAAAGATAATATATGTAATTAATCTGTATAGAAGTGTGTTTAAAAATGTTGCAACTCATAATGAACTAGTGCTTTTTTGGGGCTGACTCTGCACTTCAGATGACAAAAACTATTAATTTGTTAGTTGAGCTCTTCATTAATGGGATCCTCAAGATTCAATATTTTGCCTTGTATCTAACACAGTTAGATATGTTGTAGATATGTCAAACTATAGGAAAATTCATTCTCTGCCTTATATTCCATTATATTCCTCAGTTACATGGTTGATTCAAAACACTGACTTGACAAGGGGACACGCACTTGTAAGAGGTGATGACTTACATCCTTAGGAAATAACATTTCTAGAGAATTCAAGTTGCTTTAAATGCTTCTTGTCAGTGCTGCTGTGTTCAAACCCTGAAAAGGTGTTTGTTACCCCAAAAAAATAAGAAGTCCTTTTCAGTTACCACTTACTCTTGAAATCCTATGTATTCACCAATTAGTCTTGAAAAGCAGTGTTGAATTGTCCATAAAACCATTTCAGATAGCTGGTGCCCAAACAGAGCAATTACAGCAAAATGAAAATCTGAATCTTCTGCCTCAATTTTAGAATTTGAAGTCCATAAAATAAATGTTTTGAAGAAGCATCAGTAAATCTGGTCAAATACTGTGGGCATATAGAAATACTCACCTGAATTTCATTTGTGTATCACTTTCAGAGATTTATTGGCAATTAAATAGTCAATATCTCACATCTTCCATTACTGCAGAATGAACATTAAGCTTCCATGAGATGGATGCATTTCCATTTCTTTTCTTTGAGGCCTTTCTAAATGTTGGAGGTAGCACCCAGGTTTCAAGACAAGCACCTGGGCTCCAGTTTTACAGCAGGGAGTGGCAGGAGACATGGACATCACACAAATGGAGCCTGCAGTGCCACCACACACTTCTGGAATGTCACAGGTGCTGTGGTGGCACCCACAACGTATAGCTCTATCTAAGCATATCTCAGTGCACAGGAGGCTGTAGCCTAAACTGAGAGCTGACATCAAAGGAAGGATAAAGTGTGATGTGAAAATCCTTGGTCTACCTGAATGTTAAGCATAACCCAGCACAGACTTGGCCTTTGTCAATGTTGCTGCCGCTTTGACTATTCCATGCCCTTATGTTCATTTGCATACCACTGGTTTTATTCTAGTAGAGAGCCGAGAATAAATTTAGAGCACATTGGAGGAAGCCTGGACCCGCTGTGGTCAGTTGTTATGTTGCCACTGACTTTAGCTTTATAGATACCACATTTCCAGACCCTAAGACATCCCCATTTCTGTTCTGGAGAGCTTTAGCCGTGCAGCAGCTGTAGTCATAATGGTCTTGGCCATTTTTCTGGCCATTTGTGATGTTTTTCAGATGGATAACTGGTTTTTGCATTTCACATTCTCGTATTTTGTTTTTAAATTTATGGTTCTGCAGTTTTTGAGCCATAGACTGAAAGACAAGACAAGGCTGCAACTCGTTGCTTCATCCCCCAGAAGCCTTGCTGATGGATGGTGTATCCTTTCCACTGCAGATAATTGACTATATATTTCCCCACAATGTTTTTTATTGTATTTTACAGAGAAAAGTAATAAAAATAGAGGTTGTATCACAATCACAGCAGTGTTTCCATTCCTCAGGCAACGTTTTTCAGTAACCCAAAGAAAAACACTTCCCCACCCTTTCCTGGTTACTAAACTTGGTATATGATTCTCAGTAAGAAGAAAACCAGATGCCATGTTTAAATGTAAGATGGCAGGAACCAGAAAAGCAGAAAATGGGTCCAAATTCAGGGGAGTGTTCCCAGATAGTCTTTGTATTCTTTGAAGTGCAATATGGATACCAGTGCTTCCAGAGGCATCTGCAAAGACCCTTTGATACGTCCCCCCGTTGCTATAGGTGTGTGATAAAGGCCTGGCTGATGCAGTGAGCACTATGGATTGCTTGCAAAATACTCCTGCAGGGTGCTGTCAGTGTCACACAGGGACATGCAAGCAAATGCCACTTATGTGATTCTAGTAATCTTATGTGGCCTCACAAGAGTTAAACAGACCCCACAGACGTGTTAAGAGACCAGATCTTGGGGAGAACTCATTGCAGGCCAAACCCGTGCAATCCAGTTATCCTTGTGGTGGTAACTAAAAAGCATCTTACACTGAATAGGAAAGCAATTATCTAAGCAGACGTTTACTTCACTTTGCTATATTTTGTTGAAGGTGAGAAGTGGACTAAATATCTTTGGGCTATGGCACTGAAGGTTCCAGTCCCACAAAAATTTTTTTGTGGAAAGAGAAGAGCTGGAAAACAAAATTTAACCTAAGGCAAATGAAGACTGGTCTGTGAGTACGGACGCTTTAGACATCAAAATATACCATCATGAATGTCTAAAAATGATCTGTCTAGTGTCACATCCTTCCATTCAGTAGAGGACAGAACAGTTAGATTAAGGAGTGATCTGTGAAGTGTTGGGTAGAATGAAAGATTTTGGTAAGCTGAACTACTTAATCTAAGTTTGAATGCCATCCATTTTAAGTCTTAACATTCTCACATTCTTGTTTGGTTAGTTTTTTTGTTTTTGTTTTTATAAAGATGCTATTAGCAAAGATGAGAAGATGCTTAAAAATTTCCAGCCAGATGTGTCTCCAAACTTTCCCAGAGATGACATATATTCAGATGTAATTTGAATTAGACCCGTTATATAGACAAGTTTGTTTTATAGCTGGGTGCAGCTGTGAAGTTTGGATTCAGATCTGTAATTCCCCTCAACTTTGAAGACTATAGTCAAATCTGTGGTTTTGGATTTGAATCTCCAGTTGCTTGTTGCGTCAGACTGTCATTCACATCTGTTCCACCACCAGCTCAGTGCAGGAGTGTGATACCAGCTTCAGCCTCGGCAGAGCTGGAGCTCAGAAAGGCCCCTTCTCCAGCACACAGTTTCATATGAGCAGCGACAGCAGCACTTTGTAGGTCTGTAGGTTAACAACTCTCTACATGCCATCTAATGGCCGTCCATGACCCACTGCGGAGCACTGGCTGGTGGGTCACAGGTTGTTGGCTCCCACCCTG